AACAATGATTATGGACTAAGTACAGTAGGCCTGCATTCAGCTGTGAAATGTTGATTCTATGAAATGATGATTCTGAACTTGTTGAATGTCTGATTCTAAACTTGTTGCTGTACAATCAAACAATAGAGTAAAAACTAATGAGAAGATGCGAACAATTGCGTTATGACAAGTTTTTAAATGAAAGTTTACCTGTTGGCTCATCTTCCATCTGTGCTTCTGCCTGGGAAAGCTCTTTTGTTGAAACAAAACGAAACAAACCAAAGTTAGAATTGAAAAACATGCTTCAACACTCTACAGAGCAGTACTACTGGCCATGCTTTCAGAGAACAGGGTCAATGACCACTATGAAAGCTTATACAGAAGAGCTGTTCATAGTAATAACGTTGAACTGAGTTAAAATAATCTTATCACCAACCTATCACCTCCTCTAGCTCATCTACTTCAGCTTCTTCCTCTGCAACAGAAGAGAGAGAGAGAGAGAGAGAGAGGAGGCACTGAAGAATGAAACGTACAGTTTTAACATCAGAATATTCTTGCCCTCAACTGAGTGGAGGTAATACGTACATAAAATCACACTCAACACGTACCTGCAAACTCTTCCTGAAGAGCTTCCTCCTGTTGAGTTTCTTCTGATTCTGCTTCCTCTGTTTGTTCTGAATCTTCTGCTGCTGCTTCTTCTACCACCTCTTCTGTGGAACAAAGGAACAAGGAATATTAGAACACTGTTTTTCAAAAGACAATGAATTACACCCTCACATTGGGAATTGACGAGTTCATCCACTAATGAGCAGAGATTTTAAGTTTAAAGTGTTATTAGTTGTATGTACGGGATATGCATGGTATACATCATCCAACGACATGCTTACTTGCAGGTTCCTTCTCAACAATGCAACAACAATAAGAAATAATAAAAAATGAGGTGACATAAGCAATGCAAAAAATGTATAGGAGAGACAGAAAAGTGAGTACCATATCCACTACCCCGAGATTAGATGTGAAAGGGGCCACTGCCCCACCTCTCTACATACATGTAGCTACTCTTATCAGATAAGATAATGTGTGCATACACTTCTGCAATGCAGCACCTGTTGTTCAACTGTGCTCGTTCTAAACTGTGTGAAGAGAAACGCCTCATCAGCAAAAACCGAGGCCTTGAGAGGATTTTCGGTTCAATACTTTCTGGACCCAGATTAAGCCTACCCCTGGACTAAAAACCTTTTGTTCTGTTCTGGATAATTTTTCCTTACCCTCCTCTGCTGGTGCTGCCTCCTCTTCCACTGCCTCCTCTGCTGCTGGTTCCTCCTCTGCCTCCTCCGCCTCCTCCACGGCCTCCTCCTCAACTGGTGCAGCCTCTTCTTCTGCGGGGGCAGCCTCTTCTTCTGCGGGGGCAGCCTCTTCTTCTGCGGGGGCAGCCTCTTCTTCTGCGGGGGAAGCCTCTTCTTCTGCGGGGGAAGCCTCTTCTTCTGCGGGGGAAGCCTCTTCTTCTGCGGGGGAAGCCTCTTCTTCTGCGGGGGAAGCCTCTTCCTCAACAGCCTCTTCTACGGCATCCACTTCCTCCTCCTCTGCAGCAACTTCCTCCTCAACGGATGCGGCCTCCTCCTCAATAGCTTCTTCTGTGGGAGCAGCCTCTTCTTCAACTGGGGCAGCCTCTTCAGCAACCTCCTCCTCGACTGGTGCAGCTTCCTCCTCAATGGCGGCGACTTCCTCTTCGACTTGGGCGGCTTCCTCTACCTCTTCCTCAATGGGGGCAGCCTCCTCTTCTACGGATGCAACCTCCTCCTCGACTGGGGCAGCCTCCTCCTCAATGGTCTCTTCTACAGGGGCAGCTTCCTCCTCCACAGGGGCAGCCTCTTCCTCAACTGGTGCTGCCTCAACAACCTCCTCGAAAGGAGCAGCCTCCTCCTCAATGGCCTCTTCTACAGGGGCAGCTTCCTCCTCCACAGGGGCAGCCTCTTCCTCAACTGATGCTGCCTCAACAACCTCCTCGAACTGAGCAGGCTCCTCCTCAATGGCCTCTTCTACAGGGGCAGCTTCCTCCTCCACAGGGGCAGCCTCTTCCTCAACTGGTGCTGCCTCAACAACCTCCTCGAAAGGAGCAGGCTCCTCCTCAATGGCCTCTTCTACAGGGGCAGCTTCCTCCTCCACAGGGGCAGCCTCTTCCTCAACTGATGCTGCCTCAACAACCTCCTCGAACGGAGCAGGCTCCTCCTCGACAGCCTCCTCTTCCTCCTCCAGAATCTCAGGCTCTTCCTCAATGATTTCAGGCTCATCCACCTCAGGCTCTTCTTCCTCTTCAACCACCTCAGGTTCTTCCACAACCTCGGGCTCAAGCTCTGTAAGGAAGAGATAGCGTTAAGCAACTTAGCTGATAACGTGGATTTCCTGCCAAAACCAACAAAAGCATTTCCCAAAAGTAATATTTCGTTAGAAAATGACACTGGGTGATAAAGGTCTATAATATTGGTTGACTTTTTCCCTTTTAAAATCCACAATTTCAATGTTGTCTTCAAGCTTACACACCTGGTGGGGGAGCAGCAGCTTCCTCTGCTTCTATGGCCTCGATCACTTCTTCAATGGGTTCTGGTGCGGCTGAAGCAAGGGGAAGTGGGGAAAGAGATAAGGGGTAGAGGGGAACAGTTAAGACCATCCTGATTGCAGTTGATCCTTTTACTTCAACTAAGGCATTATCTGGCATACTTCATCATTTTCCTCTTGCACAGAACGTTCCAAAAAGTATTCCTTAAAAAGGCACATTTAAGAAAGTGCTCTAATTTTACGAGGTGATTTTCCATGGTGTGTCAATAATGAAAAAAGTGTCTGCTCCGTCAATATATTATTTTAAATGAATTAACCCGTAGACCTACAGAATAGAAACTGCTGGCTTAAACCATGGTAGATATATGTATGGAACATTAGTTTGTATAATGTGACAACTGGTATTGGTGTCTAGTCAACAGTAGGTGCAAGCATGTCGTGTACATGTCGTGGGGTTTACACAACAGTGCCAGGTATGTGGCAAGACCAGCTTATCAGAGCCAATGGTTAAAAGGGTAGAGAATGGCTCATGCTCCCCCAACCAATGACAGCTCCTCTGGAGAAAATGTATAATCTCTACAGGTGGCAGACATGGAATCAATAGTTTACATGTACAATGAGTTTAATGGTTAGCTCGTGACTTAGATAGCCGTAGCAGCGTCGTGTGGGTGTCTGGTGGAGGACCCAGTTCTACTGAGGGTAAAGGTTTCATAAAGACCCTTTAAGGCCCACACAGACTATGATTTTAGCCATCTTACGCCACGATTCTGCTGTCCCAGAAAATGTCCACGTTATGGGCAAATTGTTGGACGTCTTGGCTCGTTCAGGGTGACAGGGTCTAGGTCTGCTGATTTAAGTACCACCATGTGCGGTTGTAGGTCCGAATTGTTTTGCCTTTATCGTGTAGTGTGTGTGGCTGGTGTTACGATCCGATTCTGGTGACTGGCCAGTAGGAACACGGCCGACACAGAGTATGCACACAATAATATGATTGTGGATAGTCATATTAATATAATAGTTTGATTTAAACATTGACATGCTTTGCAAGAAGAACAATTTCCGTAATAAACTTTTTTAAATGACATCTGAAATCAGGCTACCTGATGGGATTTTGATAAAGGCACAAAATCGGCAATCAAAATAAACGTTCTACCACAGCGACCATGTTATTTTTGGGAAGTCTATTTGATTCCGAGTTCAGACAAGTTTGTATGTGAAAACCATTTCTAACTTCACTCACGCATAAGCATAGAGGGAGGCTTGCGCTGCTGGCACATGCGCAGATCAAATACACTACTGCAGTTGACGTAGCCTACATCGGCTGACAGCCTCGCAAGCCTATCGCAGAATGTGATGACAGAACTGAAGCAAATCGTACAATGTGGCCAGGTTGATATCAAGATTTTTAAATTTGCTAACGTCGCACAGTGTGACATCTAATAATCATTAAAGACGGAATCAGACATACAGTGTAGGAAGGCCTTAAGAGCTTGTGACGTTCTAGTTGGATGCCATTTTGTCTAGTCAAGCCCACAGTTCAAATTAAATGAGAATAGTGATTAATAACTTGCATGTTTAAGCAATTAGGATACTGCATAAACGTCTGACAAGGGGAGGTTGTATGAAATTGTAATGATGAAATTAAGTAGTAGGCTATGTTTGAGTATGAAAAAAATGACCACTGGTCACATTCTTAATGTACAGAAGAGAACAGTGTAGTAGATGCGTTTGTTGCATCTGTATCGACTCAAGGGACATGCACACCACCGGTGCTACTGGGGCCTTCTCCTGTGGGTGTGGGTATAGAGTGCGTGTCATTACACACACACTTCCTCTCATGAGATTTACCATCTACTACAGTTAATACAGGTTGTGTGTGTGTATGTGTGTGTGTGTGTGTACGTGTAGACCAGCAGGAGTTGTACCTTCTTCCACAGGTGCTGCAGGGGCCTCCTCTGGTGCTGCATCTCTGGTAATGATGACGGTAGCCTTCTCTTTCAGTCCTGAGGGTTTTACAAGTGACGTAGGGGGTTTAAGGACGACATGGCAACAACTCTTGTTCAGGAGAAGTGCCTTTACTACAACTCTATATAATGTATACTGTATTTGGCATAGTAATATTCATGTATATGGCTAGTAACAATATAGTAATTTACATAGAGATTTAGGTCTAGGTCATATGCATAAACGTTTAGAAATTAACATAATTAAAAACAAAAATATAACTTTTAAAGACTGATTTGGGTTTACTTTTGCACTTAAACACTGAATTGGTATTGTGTTCCGATATGCTGTGAAAAGGTGAGGTCTGCAGTGCTAAGAGAGAGCAAGACAGGGGAGCAAAGAAGAAAAAAAAAGGAAAGAGTATTCCAATAGAAACGACTGGGAGGGAATGCCTACGTGTATGCATACCATTGGCCATTTATGTAACACCAAAGTATCTTATTGAAAAGTGTGAGACAAGTGCACTTGATAACAGGAAACCTTCAAGAATCCAGCAACTTTATTAACAAAGAACACCCACATAGCTGATCCTTTCAAATCCACTTCGGAGTTCCATCTTCACCAACTGCAAAATAAATCATTATGTCCTATTTCTACACATTTCCTGTCTAGCGACTCTATAAAGCTATATTTTCTGATGTAAATTAACACATAACTAAACCACATCTGATTCTAAGCTTATAGCACCTTGCTGTCCACTTGGCACCTTTCCTTGTCAAGTTCATACTTCTATAGAGGACAACATTATGATTTTTTCACAAGTAGGGAGTGGCTAAAACTGTCCTGCACAGTAGGGGGTTTCATACTCCCATTCGCAGGGGTCTGTCACTGGAGATCTCTCACAATTCTCCTGAATCTTTTAACATCCCGTGTCACCAGAGGGAGTGAATGATCACCAACATCAGTGCAGGTGTGAAGAGTTTAGCATCATTTCCGGACCCCCTTATCAGACACCTTGAGCTTTTTAGCAGCAGCTTTGGGGGACTTTTTACTTTTGGCGTTTTTGGGGGCCTCCACCTTCTTACCCTCCACCTCTTTCCCTGACTTCTTGTCTGGCTTTGTCACATTCTTCTTAGCTTTCTTGCCCTTCTCGTCCTTATTTTCTCCCTCCTTCTCTTTCTGCTCTTTGTCTCTCCTAATCTTGCCCTTCTCAAACTCCTCCTTCTCCATCTTGTCCTCCATCCTAGCTGCCATCGCCACCTTAGCCTTCTTTGCTGCCTCGTCCCTCGTCACCCCTGGGACCTTCTCCTTCTCCCTGGCCAGGATGTTCCTCACCTCGGCCAGAGCCATCTTGGCAATCTTTTTGGCCTCCACTCGATCATGGATGATGGCCAGCTGCTGTTTCAGGGCCTCCCTCAGCTTCCAGCCCACGTCTTTGGTCAGAGGGTTTTCTGGGACACGAGAATACCGTTTAGCGGCTTTCACCGTTTTTTCACTGCCAGGCTGCTAGGGTCACAACGCAAGCATATTGCTGACCACACTTCAAGCGTTTAGTAGGTTGCAAAGCACCATGGGTAATTGGATTTGCTGACTGGGAATGTTAGGATAAGTAGCATCTTTCTGCACTTTGGAAAGGTTTCGCCCTGTCAATATTTAAAGGTGTATAGGGGCATGATCTGACAACAAAGACAACGTCTGTGGTCAAACACGTTTTACTACACGGATGGGATTCAGTTGGTCCAACAGTTATATGATGTTGTCCAATATTACAGTCAGCACACCACGCAGACATGGTGGATTTAAATTATTTCATACAAAATACCCTATAACTACAAAAGGGGTAGTCAAATACAGCATGTGGCTAGAAACCAATTCATGATTGTATGCCAAGAAGCAGTAATATTTTTTCAGAAATTCAAATTTAATTCTACTAGTACACTTAAATTCAAAAGATCACAATATAGTTATTAGGGTAAGCAAGACCTTTATAGCTCAAACTCTACTGCACACTGGAACCCACACTGTTCCTCATGCAATACCCTTTTTGGCTTCTCTCTTGGAAACACGTCCTGGATTTTCATCTGAGGTTTAAGAAAACAAAAAGTTAAAATACGGATATAGTCTCAGCAAGACTGGTGTATCTGCTTGGTGCTCAACCACCAATAGGAATAGCCGAATCACAGCTTACCTATGGTAGGGGAGAGCAACCATTACAACAGAACAAAACCAAGCTCAACCAATAACAGGTGGAGAGAAGTCTTGTACCTCACTCAGCTTTCATTGACACCATTGGCAAGCTTACCCATAGGCAAATATTTATTATCCAGTAGGGCTAAGATTTTCTCTCACAATCTAATAGTAAAGCCTTTGACATACAGCTTTCGGAGTATTGGTAGTAAAAATGCACACAGAATCTACTTGGGCCACCCCTCATCTGGCATTGCCAAATAGCAGCGGTGGGTGAAGTCACAAAGTCAGGGGCAAATTCAGTACGAATTAATAAAACTAAAAACCAGCCAGACCTTAAAAACAGACTAAGTTACAGGTCCCCCCAAAAAACTAAAATGTGCATGTTGATAACATGGAAAAGCAGACAAAATGCTACAACGTATTTTGAGAGCATGGACTAGACAAACTACAAAGCAATCTGGACACTCATCCACAACAAAGTACCTTCTGTCTCAGTAGCCGCCTCTTTTTTCTTGACCTTTGTTTTTGGAGATTCTGGTTCGATTAAGTCGGCTAAGAAAAAAATTAAATAAATGACCAACGAAAAATCAACACCAATTTAGCAATGTTAAGACTTCAAAACTTTAGCCAAATATACAGGTTTCTTTAACTAGCAGACCTGCTTTCCATGAATGGAATGCCATGCATTCACGCATCTGAAAATAGACATATGGTGTAGTCGGCTACTCAGAGCTTCTTCAAGTTTTACTCTCAGCAGAGAATAAAAAAGGGAGAAGGTTAAGTACCTCTGTGTCTCGCTCTTTTCCGATCGCGTCGAGGTTCATCTGATATTTTTCAAAAGGAACATGGCATTAGAATCTAACAATCCAGTGACCATTACTAATGAACAACAGGCAAAACTCATATCCAAAAATTATCAGAACAAAATTTGACAACTCTAAACATGCACATGCCAAACCACAAAGGCGGACAGATGCTACCATTCAGGGCTCTACACTGACCTTGTTTTACAAGGAGCACGTGTGCGTCTAAGTTGAAAAATGTAGGAGCACAAATAAAAAATATTTGGAGGTAATAAAAGTTAGAATCCTTAAATTTGTCTAGGCGCACCAAAATATAAATTCCAGGTCACACAGCAAAATATTTAGGTGCATATGCAAGTAAAATGGCCGCACTGTGGAGCCCTGCCACACATTCACGATTGCATAGTGCTTACCCACACCTCCTATTCTGATGGTTTTATTACATTACTTGTAAGAGTATGACTTGGAAATGATGACCATGCGAGTGTGACATGACTGTATAACTAATTTTACACTTAATCAATACATTTAGATTCATATTTGTCAATGGTGCCAAAGACCAATCAACTAAAACAATAGATGGTAGTTGTAATGGGAATATTTAAGATTAATAAAGTTAATATTCAGTTTAGAGTGATTAACAAAATGTTTAGCATATTTATATATATTTTCCCTTTCTGTAATACACATGATTTCCAGTGTTCTGTTTTTAACACTCTGGTTGGTCACGTGTTATGGATTAAACTCATATCTGTTGATAGTGATTGGAGGTACAATGACTTAGGACACTGATTATTATTGTATTCTGTGAAACACTGAATCTGTAGCAGCTGACAAAGTCACTGCCTTTTGTTCTTTCCTTCCTACAAGCCTCTTGGGGTAGTGTTGTTATCTCCCTGTTGCAACTTGTATTAAACCGAATTGATTTATGATTGACTTTATCTGCGACTGCACTTCTTCTGTTCACCTGGAAATACATTTCACAGTAGTCCACCATCAAAACCCTAATTGGGTCATTTGGCTAGTTCTATTTTTAAATGGGCAGATAAGTATTACATGAGTCGCTTGAGATGAAGTGACATATTCAAACTACTACAACCACTATGACTTCTTTTCACACAAGAGCATGAATCTCACCAGTTCAACCTGTTTGTAGCTATACGGTCATTGCTTGGTCATTGTACATGAGTACTAAGTCAAGCCTCTAAATGAGTGAAAGACACTACGAAATCTGAATGGACAGCAGGTTTATTGTATCTTTGATAGTGCCATTCCTTATACCTTTTGTGACAGACATGTGTTTGCTAGTACTTACTAGAAACCTGTCTTCGTTTGCTTTCAATGTTGTCATAGATGACACATTTTTGACCATACATACAATTACAAATTACTGGAACTTCACTGACACTGCTTTCCAATTATTGAGTTCCATCTATAGACCACAATGTTTAGAGTTTGAAATCTAAACTAGCTGGGTAAGTCTCTTTAGGGCGAGTGGGAGTCAGCACTGACCCATTTCAGATATCTGGTGTTCAAATCAAATCAAATTTTATTGGCCACATGCGCCGAATACAACAGGTGCAGACATTTTTTATAAAAAAAGTAAAATAAAACAACAACAAAAAAGTGTTGGGAAAAAAAGAGCAGAAGTAAAATAAAATAACAGTAGGGAGGCTATATATACAGGGGGGTACCGGTGCAGAGTCAATGTGCGGGGGCACCGGCTAGTTGAGGTAGTTGAAGTAATATGTACATGTGGGTAGAGTTAAAGTGACTATGCAAAAATAATTAACAGAGTAGCAGCAGCGTAAAAAGATGGGGTGGGGGGCAGTGCAAATAGTTAGGGTAGCCATGATTAGCTGTTCAGGAGTCTTATGGCTTGGGGGTAGAAGCTGTTGAGAAGTCTTTTGGACCTAGACTTGGCACTCCGGTACCGCTTGCCGTGCGGTAGCAGAGAGAACAGTCTATGACTAGGGTGGCTGGAGTCTTTGACAATTTTGAGGGCCTTCCTCTAGCTTACCATGGAGTGTGGAATTCGGTAAAAGTACTTGAACTCATATAGTCAGACTCAAAATACATGGAATCCTCCATATCAGGGAGCACGTTTTTCCAAAGCCACCTCGGGCTAAGTATGCAACATCATATTTCATTACCCTGTCCTAGGACATCTAGAAAGTTGGTTTAAGGAACAGTCGAAAGCTAGTTTCTCAAGGGGTTGGCTTTAACAAAAGTGGACAGCTAACGAGAAATGATTAACACCTGTGCAATAAGTCCTCCAGCAAGCCGGTCTCTAAATATTTCTAAGCTTATGTGCAGTCTTTTTTTTGGGGTGAAAAATCGACGCTTTACCATGCAAGGAAAAAAATAATATTCACAAAAAACACATAAGCCTTAACCAATAAATAATCTGGAAAACACGTTTTTATTGTGTTTAACGAATGGATGACGAAGACAAAAATTATGGAAAGATGGGGACAAATAGCTGACCTGAATACGTTCAAAAACCAACAAACACAGAACATTAATAGTAATCCTAATATGGACAACAGAAAAATAAATAAGTTAATGAGGGAATGCTTCACTGATAAAGTAAAAAAAAAAAATCTTCAACAATACTTTCAAGAAAGTAACTACTTAGACGAAAGGAGAAACTCAAGTAAAAAAGTACAAATATAATTCCTGCTAAGTGGATGAATATATTTACATTTACGTCATTTAGCAGACGCTCTTATCCAGAGCGACTTACAAATTGGTGCATTCACCCTATATGTGCTGGTTAGGACCCTAGGGTATGAAGTACTGTGGTTGTAAAAAAGAGAACCAATCTGTTGTCCAAGTGCAGCTGTTCATTGCATAAGTTGCTAGTCTGCTGGGTATTGCAAGCAGTCTGTTAAGTGGAAATGCACATATCATAGAAAAGCATTTTTCAGCCTGGCATTTAAAAGTGCTCCAAAAATCCTGAAGGCATAGTCTTCATCCCACCATAGGAGATCTTCAAAAAAGACTTGAGGGGTCAACTTCTACATGACTTAACCCTTCAAAGTATTCTGCCAGAGAATGGTGATTTTACAGAGGGTTTTTCAGCAAACGCTCCTCAAGCAATGGGAAACAAGTCTAAAGGAGCAATAAGTCGACTTGGGACCACATGCCATGGGGGATATGGCTACTGGTTACTGGTTGTGGAGGCCTAAGATCACACAACTCTTTCCCTGAACCCCGTCAGTCTGAGAAGTGCCAGCACTTTCCTCCTCCGCCGCTTCCTCCTCATCCTCAAACGGGTTTATGAGGCCATAGAGGAAGGTGAAGAAGCCTTGAAACCAATCGGAGCCCTCCTCTGCTAACATATCCAGGACCTCCTCGAGGGAGTCCGAGCTTTCCTGACTGCCATCTTTGGTCAGGCCTACGCAAACAGAGGGGAAAACAAGGAAAGAGAGATAGGGAGGGAGGAAGAAAAAGAAAGAGAAAAAGGTGGAGCAGGGAAAAAGGGAGGAAAGTTTTAAGCGAGGTCAGGCAGCGAGGGAAACTATGCAGGTCTAAGGTAGCATGAAGCAGAGTTAGAGACTAAAGAGAGGAGAGAAAAGCAATAGCATAGCCTAGAGGGGGGTGGGCATGCAGAGGGCCTCTATAGAATCTATCACTAGCAGCAGGGGGACCACAGCTGTGCCAGACAGGCAGTGGTCTGGGTGACAAAGCAGAGCAGTAGTCTTTATGGCAGACAGCAGCAGAGTAGACCGAGTACCAGAACATGGAACCAACTCATTGGAGCAAACACTCCTGAAGTCGGTTCTTCCCTTTTGATTAGAAAGAAATTAGCAACTTTAAAATCATTTAACAAGCGACTTAGAGATGAGAGAACACAGAAGTCCTTGTTATGACTGAGTAATTCTTAAAGTATGCAGCAGTTTGGCCCTGTGCCAATTGTGGTGCATGTCTACCAGGACTTGTGATAACTGCATGCCATGTCAGTGGTGTGGGCCTGAAACGCAATAGTCAGTATGGAATCGAACCCTAAACACCTTTTCACACCATGCACATGCAGACCTTGTTGATTAATTGTCCAGTTTGGTAGAATTGACTAAAATAGTCTCTTGTGGCAGAGATCAGTTAAACCAAAGTCAGTCATGCAAAAGAAACCCAAATCAGTTATGTAATCACACAAACACACGTCAATAAATAACAATCCAGTTCAAATCGATGAACTTGCCTAGCAGTACTTTAGCATCCTCCACATCGAAGTCACCATCTCCATCGGCATCATAGGACGAAAGTTTACCTAGTAAAGTAACCGGAGTTAGTCTTTAGCCACGGGTCAATGGGGGTTGGGTATGTACGGTGAAATGTGGGTGGGTATACCCTACGCAATGGAATTGCTTAGGATGGGGGTTACTAGCATTTAGGTTATAATAACAAAACAATATGTTAATTGCTATCGTTCTTGGATGATGATTTAGGATAATCATTACTGTTAATTTCTGCATTTCCAGAAGTATTGCTCTTAATTTCTATGATAAGCAATATTACCGTTTAGTAATTTTTTTTTATGATCACATTAGCATTATAGTAACCCCCCCCCCCCCCCTTTTTTTGTTTTTGAAACTAATAAAACATAAAATCTTGGTTAACCAGACATAAAATCTTGCATAATTTGGTCAGCTGCGTGATTAACTTCTGGCTCTATATGTGTTAGAAATTGAGAGCTCCGGCAAAAACGAAGTCTCCACCCTCGCAAAAGGAAAACTCTGCTGCCCCCCCCCCCCCCCAACATTCTTTGCATCTTGTGCCAATATCAGTTATTTTTAAGTCTTGGTTCCAATAGTTTAAAAAAAATTCTAAGAGGTTGTCAGTTGGATAGACTCTGCAAGGTTTTGTATCTTCCCTATCATATGAATATCATTTTCTGACTAATAGGATTCCCTCAAGATTGCTCTGATGTCCAAAATATTACAAATCGAAATTGTGATATTAAACTTTTAAGTTGCATGTATTTGAAAATATCTACATTGGCCAGTCCAAAATTACTTTTTAATTGTGTCATGGAAATGAACTTATTTCCCATTACCAAGTAATTTACAGTTTCCAAGGATTGTTCCATAGGGTTGTGTTTTTTGGGAGTGATATTGGTTCTTGTAGAATCTGTTTCATTTTCTTCCATATTTTTATAGTGTTTCTTAACTATGAAGTTGTTAATGTTCTTTGAAAATAGACACTGGATTCTGGGGGTGAGCATGCGCATCTTCAATAATTCCTATTTAGTGCATTTAACAATATGTCAAAAGTAAAAGCCTTGGGTACAATTAAAACCACCCTCAGATTTAGGGAGATTTAAAACGTTCCTTTTTATTCTGAGTTTTATTTGCCCATATAAAGTCTTATGGCAGAGTATACTTTTTTAAAGAATGTCTTCAGTGGGGTAATTGGTATACAGGCCAGGCGTTTCTATGCGTGCTCAAGCAAAAAAATTACAAACATTAACATAGGGCCAAGAATTGACAAAATTAAACAATGAATGCGCACGAATTAGCGGGAGACAGAGCGCATTCTGAAGAGAGATGTGCCTACTAGTGAGCCTTCACCAAACACACGCTTCCCTTCTTCGTGTCAACATTCTAAATTAGGGATGTCATTTATCAAAATTATAAGCTGTAGTGTAGACCACTACTCAATTATTTTAAATAGGCCTTCAACAGGAAATGCATGTGAAACCTTAACGCCAGACAAGGCTTGCGCAGCAATAAAGCAGCATTTTTTATATTTCAGATCCATTGGGGTACGATACAGACCCGACCCAATTTGGATCCGATTCATCTGACATATTTTGGATAGGATCTGGTCTACCTCGGCTCCGAATCGGATACGGACTTTCAAAAGAAAATAACTGGTTCCTGTCAGTGTTGGATAGGAATTTCACGGATCCAAGTCGGTTCAGATCTCAATTTCGGGATCCGAGAATACCTTGAGTCTACGCGCAGAATCTGCACATGAGAGATTAGCCTTATAGTAACATGTTAGCATTTCAATATTTAAAATGTTTTAATGATGAGGTACAAATAACAACCAGGGGTTGGAACCAAAATTATTTTTCAATCGTTTCATTCTGAAACTAACCATTATTTTGTTTGTTCCGTTCAACTGTTCCGACTGGCAAAATAAAAAAATAAAGTCCTGAACAAAAATTTACATTAGCTTGACATTAAATTACATTTTTACATTTATTTTTTATTTTTAATAAGTTACTTCACTAATCAATGTGGATACAGGAGTTTGCTATGGAGCGTGCAAGCTATAGGCCTAGTCGTTGTAGCCTGGACGCTATAGGCTGCCTAGGCAATAGTTGTTTACAATGCGCAATAGACAACCAAGTGTAGGGCGCGAGATGCGACTGAAATTTTGCGGGGAGAGAGCGAGAGTGGGTGGAGGAGGAGGCTTTGCTTGAAGCGCTGGGCATCTTATGACATGCATTATCGGAATTAGGCCCACTGAATTATACCTACAGAGGAACGGCTTCTATGGAGGAACTTTTAATGTCTTTGAAATTCTGAGAGTTGGACCAGAGCTAGTTAGCTAACAAGCTTGTTAGTGCAGAATTAAAAACAATTCTTAACTTTTAGTAGTTAATAAATCCAACGTGAAATGTGATTCTATAGTATCCATAACTAGCACTGAAAAAGTTAATCCATTCTTCTCTAATTAAAAATCTCCCCAATTTCTGAATCACGCTTGTAACGTCAGTAGGTTACAGTAGCCTAAGCTTCAGAGGGGGAGGGGCAAGTTGCACATGCAAAGATTTTCAGCTGGCAGGCAGACACTGGAATAAGTTAGAGTGACAGAGTGAGGGCTTTGGCACAGGCGCGTTGGTGGGACGTAAAAAAATGCCCGGAACGTAAAATAACGTTATTAACTATGTCTTATTTTAATAAATATGAGCAAGGAAGGGATGATTCAAAATATTATTTTGCCAACATTTGTTCATTTACATTGCATTATATCAAACTTATTTGATTGGTATTAATTATTCAAAAATACAGTGTGACTACTAAAAAAAATCTCTTCTATGACGGGGTCATAAAATACTAATGCAACTTTTAAATGTTATCTCTACATGCAATAAGAATTTAGTCGAAAGCAAGTGATTAGGAAATAAGGAAAGTGTATGGGAAATAAATTGATTATTTCAATTTGGACAGGAGGGTTGGTGAGTCTCATGGTTGACACATTATTATTTGGGGGCATGATCATGGGCGCAAATATCATACCTTGCAGTGTCTCAGAGAGGTTAATGTGCAAGTCCTTTGCCTTGGCTGCATGCAAGATTAAGACCAGACAAAAAAATTAACATTGGAGAAATTACAATATTTACAAGATTAATAAATTATTAATTAAGCATCAATTTGAGATCCAAAACATAATTAGTGAACAGGCATATTCAGATCCCCTCACTGAGCAATGGCACACATGCACCAAAGATAAAACTACGTCAAGGTTGAGAAGTTGAAAGTTCAATGATAAAATGCATCAAAGCACTCAGTATCACTTTGGGTTATTCCTCAATGGTATTCATGATTGTGGCGAAGGCTGAAGGTTTTATCAACTGACTGTGACAGAATGCTGTAGCTAGCAAGAAATTTAGCCTTGCTGCAGTAGCAGTTGTGTTTCCTGTTAAAAGGTCCAATGCAGCTGTTTTTATCTCAATATCAAATCATTTATGGGTTAGAATTAAGTACCTTACTGTGATTGCTTTCAATTAAAATTGTCAAAAAGCAATTTCTCAAGCAAGACTTTTGCTAGTACTGTCTGGGAGTGGCCTGAGGGAGTGGCCTGAGTGAGGGGCCTTATTGGGAGAGCCTAATTGGGAGGGATATGTAACCTGAAAACGAGCTGTTATTTGCAGAGGTGGGCAAACTCTTTGTTATTGGTCTATTAACTCATACCGCCTGGTGATGTCCCAAAAATATTCTGCCAGTCTTTTCAAACAGCTCTTACACTAAAAGCGCATTATCATTGTCACAATATTATTACAACCTCAGTGTGTGTGTGTGTGTGTGTGTATTTAAGGTGTCACTTACCGATGACGCCTTGGTAGTCGACCAGGTCGAAGTAGACGACGGCCACAGAGGTCCAGACACCCAGGAGGGCCAGCACCATGAACCAGGTGAAGAAGGAGCTTCCCCCTGCTCCCTCAGGCTTCTTGCCATTCTTACTGGCCAGCTGTGCTTTGGCTTCTGTAATGGTGGGTGGGAGAGAGAGAAGTCAGAGAGTCAGACCTAAAACAAATATTGTACAGGATAAAGGCATGTGTATACATAAGCTACACACAAATGCAGTGTGTTCCATTTGAGTTGTAAGAGTGTCAAAATACAGGCCTAGGCCTAAATGTTCCAGAAATCAGAAAGCTTTTGTGGTTAAAAGAAGCTGACGGCAAAGATATATCTTGCCATAATACTCATGACTTAAGCATTTTTTTTTTTTTCTTGCAGTCAGAGATATAAAATGGGAAGTTAAATGGGTAAGAATGGAGAAATCTCATAAGCCACTGACCACATTTTTGCCACTTACAAAACAAAAAAAGGTAGATAAAATGTTGCCTAGAAATAGCATGAAAACCTAAGAATGCCACATTTCAAACCTCAAGAGGCCTGAAAATAGGCCTTTCAAGTAACTGAATTATAATTCAGTATTGTCCTCAGAGGTAAAAATACAAAAGCAGTGGAGTAATTATTCTGGTTGCTGTTGACACTGAACACAGAGCACTATATGGGTAAAAATAACAGTATATTCGAAGAGATGGCAGTGGAAGAATGAACAGGTGCAGAGTCCGCTACCCTCAAGCTAGGTCAAACCATTCACACATACAGATCAAATCAAATGTTATTCATCACATGCTTCGTAAACAGGTGTAGGCTAACAGTGAAATGCTTACTGGACACCATATACACACAAAGCACCTGCTTATGTCAATGACAGTTATATATATTTTTTTACATTTACGTCATTTAGCAGACGCTCTTATCCAGAGCGACTTACAGTTAGTGAGTGCATATGTATAGTCCTGAACAAATCTCCAATTGCATTGATTGACTGATGGCACCAATTGGACATTCGACTTCACTTTCATGCAAACCCATCTACACACTACAGTTTGAGGTTTCTTTCTAAAAAGTTCAATAAAGTGGTTCCACATCTGCACCAAAACCAACCCAAACACTAGACCCAACCCTATGACCTTATCCACAGAGCTGTGTCCTTCTCTACATCATCCCTCAGTTGAGTACAACAAAAGGCAAAGTATCAACCCCAGATGTGCACCCCCTCATAATAACAATGGTTTCTCCACCATCACCAAAAAAGGAACATTTCACGGGTCGAATCAACGTCTATAGAAGTAATCCCTCATTCCGGAGAAGGTTGTTATCTGGCGACATCGTTCCATCTACCTTCTGTCGGTTCGACTACCACCGCGGGTTCCAACACCGGGATAGGCTCGACTATCGGCACTTCCATCCGTACAGTCCGTCCCTGACCCGTCCGAATGGGAAAAGCTTCAGTGAGTCTCATCTCCCTTATCCTTTCCCCAAACCCCTTTGCAACAGCTGCCCTCCTCTTTTAGTTCCAGGCAAACTCAGCCGGAACCCGATACGGGACCTGAATCAGCAAATAGGGCTATTTTTAGAGCTGTCCGCTCTAAAGACATTCAGGCATTCATATGGAGAGGCGGTGTTCATGCCATACCAACGTGACATTACCCAACATCCCTCGGGACAGAACCCCAGGGACTCAAAGGGTCATAAAAAATGGCTGTTGTTATTACCTTCCATCGCAGTAACAATAGAACAGCAGCAGGCAGAGAAGTTGAGATCTTTACTAAGTGAACTGGCTGACACTCATTCACACACTACCGTGTGGTGGAGCGGGCTGAGGGAGAGGGATTTAAAGGCTACAGGCCACAGCCCATGCAAATCCTGGCAGACTTTCAGTGACTTTGCTTGGCTGCCAGGGGGATACTCATTAGCCCTACATGGGCGGTTTAAGCAGGCTCTCAGAGAGAGTAGAGGCATTTCAAAACGACTCTGCACACTCAGGATTGAGGGACGTCATTCACAAACGTACATCACCTGTCTGACATAGGTAAAGGACAATCTGCTGCAAATAAGTGTGAGTTTTGGGGAAGGAGTTGGGTTATTGCCAATGTGTTAAATGTTGCTCATTCAGGCCTCCCGAGTGACGCAGCGGTCTAAGGCGCCACTACAGCCTCGGGTTTGATCCCAGGCTGTGTCACAGCCGGCCGTGCCCGGGAGACCAATGGGGCGGCGCACAATTGGCCCAGCGTCGTCCGGATTAGGGGGAAGGTTTTGCCGGCCAGGATTTCCTTGTCTCATCGTGCTCTAGTGACTCCTTGTGGCGGGCCGGGCCCCTGCAAGCTGACATCAGTCGTCAGTTGGACGGTGTTTCCTCTGACACACTGGTGCGAGCAGTGTGTCAAGAAGCAGTGCGGCTTGGCAGGGTCGTGTTTCGGAGGACGCATGGCTCTCGACCTTCGCCTCTACCGAGTCCGTAGGGGAGTTGCAGCGATGAGACAAGATTGTAACTACCAATTGGATATCACAAAAATGTGGGAGAAAAAGGGGGTAAAATAAATGTTATATATATACAGTGGGGAGAACAAGTATTTGATACACTGCCGATTTTCCTACTTACAAAGCATGTAGAGGTCTGTAATTTTTATCATAGGTACACTTCAACTGTGAGAGACGGAATCTAACACAAAAATCCAGAAAATCACATTGTATGATTTTTAAGTAATTAATTTGCATTTTATTGCATGACATAAGTATTTGATACATCAGAAAAGCAGAACTTAATATTTGGTACAGAAACCTTTGTTTGCAATTACAGAGATCATACGTTTCCTGTAGGTCTTGACCAGGTTTGCACACACTGCAGCAGGGATTTTGGCCCACTCCTCCATACAGACCTTCTCCAGATCCTTCAGGTTTTGGGGCTGTCGCTGGGCAATACGGACTTTCAGCTCCCTCCAAAGATGTTCTATTGGGTTCAGGTCTGGAGACTGGCTAGGCCACTCCAGGACCTTGAGATGCTTCTTACGGAGCCACTCCTTAGTTGCCCTGGCTGTGTGTTTCGGGTCGTTGTCATGCTGGAAGACCCAGCCACGAGGGAAGGAGGTTGTTGGCCAAGATCTCGCAATACATGGCCCCATCCATCCTCCCCTCAATACGGTGCAGTCGTCCTGTCCCCTTTGCAGAAAAGCATCCCCAAAGAATGATGTTTCCACCTCCATGCTTCACGGTTGGGATGGTGTTCTTGGGGTTGTACTCATCCTTCTTCTTCCTCCAAACACGGCGAGTGGAGTTTAGACCAAAAAGCTATATTTTTGTCTCATCAGACCACATGACCTTCTCCCATTCCTCCTCTGGATCATCCAGATGGTCATTGGCAAACTTCAGACGGGCCTGGACATGCGCTGGCTTGAGCAGGGGGACCTTGCGTGCGCTGCAGGATTTTAATCCATGACGGCGTTGTGTTACTAATGGTTTTCTTTGAGACTGAGGTCCCAGCTCTCTTCAGGTCATTGACCAGGTCCTGCTGTGTAGTTCTGGGCTGATCCCTCACCTTCCTCATGATCATTGATGCCCCACGAGGTGAGATATTGCATGGAGCCCCAGACCGAGGGTGATTGACCGTCATCTTGAACTTCTTCAATTTTCTAATAATTGCGCCAACAGTTGTTGCCTTCTCACCAAGCTGCTTGCCTATTGTCCTGTAGCCCATCCCAGCCTTGTACAGGTCTACAATTTTATCCCTGATGTCCTTACACAGCTCTCTGGTCTTGGCCATTGTGGAGAGGTTGGAGTCTGTTTGATTGAGTGTGTGGACAGGTGTCTTTTATACAGGTAACAAGTTCAAACAGGTGCAGTTAATACAGGTAATGAGTGGAGAACAGGAGGGCTTCTTAAAGAAAAACTAACAGGTCTGTGAGAGCCGGAATTCTTACTGGTTGGTAGTTGATCAAATACTTATGTCATGCAATAAAATGCAAATTAATTATAAAAAAATCATACAATGTGATTTTCTGGATTTTTGTGTTAGATTCCGTCTCTCACAGTTGAAGTGTACCTATGATAAAAATTACAGACCTCTACATGCTTTGTAAGTAGGAAAACCTGCAAAAATCGGCAGTATATCAAATATTTGTTCTCCCCACTGTATATCTTCATTTTCTCTAAATAAGCTTTGTTGTACAATTAAAAAGGTACTTTAAACAGTCAGCAATAATCTTTTTTTGTTGGTATTTTACCCCCTTTCTCTCCCCAATTTCGATTTTGTCTCATCGAAACTCCGCAACGGGCTCGGGAGGCGAAGGTCGAGTCATGCGTCCTCCAAAACATGACCCGCCAAACCGCGCTTCTTAACACCCGCCCGCTTAACCCGGAAGCCAGCCGCACCAATGTGTCGGAGGAAACACCGTTCAACTGACGACAGAGGTCAGCCTGCAGGCGCCCGGCTCCCCACAAGGAGTCGCTAGAACGCGATGAGCCAAACCCGGAATGCGCTGTGCCAATTGTGCGCCGCCCTATGTGACTCCCAATCACGGCCGGTTGTGACACAGCCTGGGAACGAACCCTAATTCATGTTTTTTCTTCTTCTTTTTTTTCTACTATTTTTTACAATGTAGAATAATAGTGATGACATCAAAACTATGAAATAACACATATGGAATCATAAAGTAACTTTTTTGGTGTTAAACAAATCAAAATATATTTTATATTTGAGATTCTTCAAATAGCCACCCTTTGCCTTGATGACAGCTTTGCACACTCTTGGCATTCTCTCAACCAGCTTCATGAGGTAGTCACCTGGAATGCATTTCAATTAACAGGTGTGCCTTCTTAAAAGTTAATTTGTGGAATTTCTTTCCTTCTTAATGTGTTTGAGCCAATCAGTTGTGTGGTGACAAGGTAAGGGTGGTATACAGAAGAAAGCCCTATTTGGTAAAAGACCAAGTCCATATTATGGCAAGAACAGCTCAAATAAGCAAAGAGAAACGACAGTCCATCATTACTTTAAGACATGAAGGTCAATCAATACGGAACATTTCAAGAACTTTGAAAGTTTCTTAAAGTGCAGTCGCAAAAACCATCAAGCGCTATTATTAAACTGGCTCTCATGAGGACCGCCACTGAAATGGAAGACCCAGAGTTACCTC